CCTCCTCCTCTTCCTCCTCCTCGTCCCCCACAGCACCAGCAACATCATCATCACCAGGCACCTTCATTCCCCATCACAACCACTGGACTACCAGCATCATCACCATCATGGTCCGTCTTGCTTGGGTCAATTTCAGACAGTGACCTGCAAACCCCCTCTCCCCAGGGCACCTCCATCGTACCCGCCCTGCTTTGCAGGGCCTTGCCTGTGCCGAGGAAAAGCAGTTTGGGAGTCGGTCGGCCGGAGAAAAAGGCCCGAAACCCATCGGATCCTGTTTACAAGGACCCCGAAACAAGAGAAACGCCACAGGGCCATCCGGGACTCCACTAGTGCAAGCTTGCAAGTGTTATTGCCCCCATGAAACTTCTCGATTCCCAACTTCGAGCCGGAACGGGACCTGGCGCGGGTAGACTGCTTGGTCCCCGCCCCATTTCGGCTCTTGGAACCTTTCGTCAGAGCAGCTTTCCATTGAACTCCGGTCTTTGAAAGGCAAGGAGCCTTTGGCACGGTTCTCCCGCCGCGCAGCGGCCTTCCATGGACTGAACCGAAGAAGCGCAAAGGGGGGGGGGGGGGGGGAGCGGAATGCTTCTGGAGAGAGACAGACAACAAAAAGAGGGAAGGACTCCAACCCCCGGAGTCGGCCAAGGCTTTTGAAAACCCGAGAGCTCTTTGCCCTCCGGCACTCGGCCTTGCTGGCTTTCTCGACCATCCCCTGACCGGGGTGTTTGATCCGCCCGCGCGGAGAGCGACGGCGCAGAGAGCGGCTCGAGGCGTCGGCCGAGGGCTTCTCCAGGCCGTGGTGTTGGTAAAGCTGCGCGACAGCATCCAGGGCCTCAGCTCGGAGACACTCCTGCAGGCTTCTTCTCGCTTGCACTCTTTTTCCCGGGTGCTTTTTTTCTTTTTCTCAGCTTCTGGCGTTTCCCTTGTAGCCGTTGCGCTGATACAGCCTGGGCATGCCAAAGGCTCTCCCCTGAGAGGCTCTCAGAACGCTCGGCAGAGATTTTGGCTCAGGACCGCAAGAAGATGCTGTGGGTGATGGAGGACGGCTTCATGCCAGCCCTCAGAGAGACGGCTGAAGCCCGCAGAAGCCGAAGAAGGCTTTGATGCGGGCTCCCTCGACCAAGATCCCCGCGAGGCCATCTCCGCGAACAGCCCCACACCGGCCGAAAGATCATTAGCCTGCAAGGCAAGGGTATCACTAGGTGACTTCTGGAGTGTTGGGAGTTGGGGTGTTGCCTGGGCAGTGAGGAACCCCAGGCTTTCGTATTGGGGGGGAGTTCAGAGTTTCAGTCGCGGTGCAATGCAACATGAGGCTTCTTGCACAAGGGTCTTGACTCACCACTCACATGAAGTGTTTCTCGCCTTGACGCAGCCGTCCATCAAAGTGTTGTAGACCAGCTCGTCACACTGCATCCCACAAGCCTCCCAGCAATACTTCTGGGAGCAGAGACTGTCCCAAGATAACTCACGCTGGCGCCTTGATGGTGGCTGCTACCTGCAACGCTTTGTCCAGGTCTCCCACCTACGGGAATGCACCGCGCCGTTACAGGCTCGGGACGTTGTGTGTGCAGGCGCGGCGGGGCGCGGCTCGAGATGGGGATGCGGGGGCCGTCTCCGCATGGAAAGTGACTCAAGCCCACACACACGAGAGCATGCCCTTTGAGCCCCGAGCCTGGCAGTAGCCCTTCAGAAGGGTGGAGTAGGTGATGAGGTCCGGCCTGGGCTCAGTTTCCAAACCTCCCAAACCTCCTCGCCCTTGGCGGACGCCAGGTGGCGCTTGGCACCCGGCTGTACAGTGCTGCTTTCGGACATCATCTCCTGGAAAAATTCCTGATGAGGGCTCCGGAGAGCTCTCGGATTCAACGCTTTTGCGGGGCTCCCCCGGCGCAGGGCCTCTGCTTTTGCCACTTCGGTGCATTTGATGCAAACATCGATGATGGAGTTGTAAGCGATGGTGTTGTAGGGAACACCTGAGCAAGGGAAGGAGCCTCGGGCTTCCAGTGGCTCTTCCCATTCTTATGACCCGCCTTCCTCCCTCATCTCCCGAAACAGCATAATGGCAGTGTTCAGGTCCTGGGACCACGTGCATGCCCACCGCCCTAGCTGAAGCTGAACCCACGAGTCCTTTTCGTTCCCATAGCCCTTGATCAGGGTCCTGAGCACAACAAGAGGAACACAACAGTACAACAAGAACGTGCAACCGAACTTGTATTGGCGCGAGCTGGGGCATCTGCGTGTACAGAATCGTGTTACACTGCTTGTGCCGCTTCTGCATATCACGAAAGATCGAAAGCGCCTCCGGCATGCGCAAGAAGAGGGAGAGCAGCACAGAAGAGAGAGTGACAGAGAGGTTGTTGGAGTCTGCGCTGTCTCCTGACACTGTTCTCGAGCAGTTAATGCTAATCGCCGTGGGCTCCTGCACGGCTCCATTACGCATGCAGCAGTGCATCAGGAACAAGTCTATAACATTCAATCAAAGTAACAGTGCCCGGGTGATTGCTCAGGAAGTTTGCCTCTTGAGCACAGACAGAAGGTGAGGTCCTTCGAGAAGTCAAGCCGAGTGACCACTAACATTCTGTTGTTGCGCTCAGGGAGAGAACCAGAAACATCATCATCATCATCACAATCATCATCATCATCACCATCATCATCATCATCACAATCATCATCCTCGTCATCATCAGCGTAATTACTCATGGCCATAGCGATCTCCATGAGGATGATCTAGCTTCTCCCGTGCGACGATAGCTCAGAAAACGCCTCCGCCTAGGTCGGTAGGGCTCTGCAAGCTGCCTTCTCCGTCTGACTGCACTTCACGCAGGCGTTGATCATGCAGCCATAGGTGACGGCCTCAACATGCACAGGTGTCGAGATATGTAGAGCTACTGATCTACTACGGGATTGCTGCAGGAGGCGCTCCATTACCAACGACGCTCGGCAATAATGTCCACATCTCCTCTTGCCAAGCCTAAACATTGCGAATGCTGGGGATCCTGGCATTCGCCTGCTCCCGCTGCTCGACCATCTCGTCCCACAGCTGTACAACCTGAAGAATAGACCGCCATCATCACTGTAGCAATGCTGACGATGCTTCCGGTTGCCTACAGCTCCGAAGACCCTGCAATGCTCGGAACGAACTGCACAGATTGATGTCATCCATTGTAATGCATTGTGAGGCGTCCCAGCCATGCAGAGCTTTCTCGGCCCTGACCCCAACGCCTTCTTGATGTCGCAAACCTGGCCGTATGCCTGCACGGAGGGAGCCGCACAGATGCATCAGCGACATATGTGAAGAAGACTATGCTGCTCGGATCTGCTTGGCATAAACATCGGTATATCGCGAGATGACACTCCAGCACTCTCCCGAGCCTTGACGAGGATTCCCAGCGTCACATGGGAGGGCTCCACGCCCAAGTCCTCCAACAGAATGGCGGAGCGAGAAGCGGAGCGAGAGGCGGAGCATCGCCGAGCACGCAGTTCTCCCGCCTTCATGCGCTGAAAAGTCGTCTCCAACTTGGCCTCGGAGTGTCCCATCCGGATGTCCAGGGATGGGTGGGTCCCACCCTGGTCCAGTCTTGAAATCGGCGTAGGGCCTAGGGGAACCAGAAACTCCACACACACAAACCGAAACATATCCCGGTACCAGGAAGCATGCTTCTTCCCATCTGATACCAACAAACCCCACACAAGCATATAGACACACACCTCGAGTTTCGACGGAACGCTCGCTACGCAAGCTTCACCGTGGCTACGTGAGGTGGACAGAGAAGCTGAGGCGGCTGCGATGTCTTTCGTTCGCGAATGTGTATCTAGAATCGCATTGAAAAGCACCTCATGTCGCAAGACCCTGCCCCTTCCCTGCTTTAACAGATCCGACCCTCTCACCTCTCCTTTCCAAGCCTCGTCTGCCTCCTGGGGCTGGATCTGCACAAATTGCTCAACGAGCGCGACCTGACGGCCAGCAGGCGAAAAACCGAGGGGCCGCTGAGCATGGCAGAGCGCCCTGCCGACCGGTTGATCTTTGCCGGGTCCCAGCTCCTGACCGGTGTTCTGTCCCTCCTCTTTCGGCGCTCTGAGCCGGGCAGGGCCTCCGCCCGTCGGCCAGGGTGCGCATCAGCATCCTGGACACCTGAGCGAAGGGACGGGCGCTTTCCAGAACGACTCCACGACTCGCAACAGAGAGGGCCCGGCAGTAAAGCGGTCCTTGGCAGGCACAATAATTCGCAATGTCGCGCACAACACCTGGCCCTTCCACTGAAGCCACTGAGGCCATGGCGGCCGGCAGGCCAGCTCGCATCATCTCCTGCAGAGCATCCCAGGCCTCGCGATCCAAGCCGAGCTAAGTGTGGCTGAGACTAACTGAGAGAGATAGTTGAGAGAGCACGCTGAAAATCAGTGCTCCACCTGATCCACGCCCCGACGTCGCATGAGATCTTCCAGCTGCGACACAGGCCCGCTCCTCACACGAGTTCGGAGCCCGCTTACCAGGCTCAGCAAGAACACCAAAGAGACTTTGAAAGAGAAATCTCCCAAACCCACAAAGCCACTAAGCGCAAGCAAAGTCGCCTGTTATCCCGGCCATCGCCGCCGCCCCCGCCGCCCCCGCCGCCACCTCGGCCCTGGGACAGAGAGCCGCTGCCATGATTCTGACTTTCATGACGACGACGGTGCGTCGACAACAAAGAACATGAAGATGACGATGGTGACGACGATGGCGGTTGTTCATTGTGATGTTGCTGATTGTGAAGTCAACGATAACGTACGCACTCCATGAGAATCATGACCACGATTCATGCTCATCCTAGTGACCATCATGGTCGTGATGGGTTTAGCACGACACAAAAAGTGTTCATGAAATGCACAGTCTGCTTAGCTGGCCATGAGGATGAGTACCACTGCAAGGGTTCGCAACCGACACCTCGCCCCATATCCGATTCCCCAAGCAAAGCCTATGCCATGGCCCTTCCAGGGGCTCCCACCTGGCCACGCCGGCCCATCCGGCCGGGGGCGGCCGGAAGCCCCGAAGCTTCAAAGTCAGCTGGGGGCGAAATCCCTGAAGACTGGGGAAATTTCCCCCTGCTTACTGGGTTTGAAAAGATCAGGCCTATTGGAAGATCTAAGTTTTATCTCAGACATAGTTCTGTGATGGTGTGCTTGTTACGGGTTTGCAGGAATCGAGACTTGGAACACTTATGGAGGGCTTAATCTCGGCATCCTACTGTAAAGTGGCTCTTGTTCTGGCAAGCACGTGTTCAATGCTGCACGTGGGCTGCTTTTCTTGCGGTTCAACTCTTGATAACTTGATAATTGGGCATTCACGGAGGGCACTTCTGCTAAGCTTCGGAGCCACGACAAAAAGCAAGAAACTTCTGACACTGTGCATGTGTGTGTGTGGGCGCGTGCATGCGTGTGTTGCTTGTGCATTGCATCATGGCCAATAACAACACATCTGACATGTTCCATGAATACTCAAGAACAGGACTGTGGACCGGGATGCTTCTGTTTATGTTCGCCGCTGCGACGGGCCAGTTTCGGATTCGCCGCTGATAATCGATTGCCACCCACCTATTTCATGATTTTCCGCAGCCTCGACTGTGACCAAGCTGTCTCCGAGAAGCCTCGCTGCTGCGCGGTAAGCAAGCCGAATACCCCGATAAATCGTTCTGAGGCCCAATCTCCCCACCGAACCCTTCGAACCCCCCCGAACACTCGTAAAGAACAAAAGCTCGTGAAGATGTGCGCGATCGGTTGGGCCGTGCGCCCCTGAGACCTGATCAAACTCACTCGAATGCTATGCTCGGCGGCCGACTGAAGTTCACACCGGAAGTTGCGTTGGAGCTTACCGCGTCATAGCAAAAAACTGCGTCCGCTGCACAAGCACATGCACGCGCTGCCACTTTGTAGACGGCAACGCGCGCCAACCGGATTCAGGCGTCGGCTTTTTCACAACTGCAGTCGCTGCCGAGGGCACCACAACCATGCCTGCAGGTCGAGGAGGCACGTGCACCGTTAAAAAAAATTTGCCAACCTTGCCAGGCCTTCGTTCTTTTGCTGTTGAGTGGCGAAAGCTGTGTCAGCACAACGGCCCAAGAAAGGAATTTTCAGCTGTTGCGTTGTACATGAAACTGGGGAAACTCTTGCGCTGATTCTCACTACTAGCATTGTCAAGGAAACGCAGGCTTCGCGAGCCAGCGGGATTTCGAAACGATGGTTTCATGCGCCGACGTTCGTGAGCCATGAGTTTCATGGATCTGCAGAGCTCAAGACACGACTTTCTTTGCTCCTCAGTTCGGTTTAGGCTTCCGTTTCCTACCGGGTTAAGGCGGAGGGGACAGGACCTAGACAACACAGCAAGCGCACGGTCAGCCCTCCTTTTTGTCCGTTGGCGAAAAACCGTCCAGTCAGTCAGTCAGCCGGGACGGTCAGAGTGACCAGCCGGTCGGGGACCGGTAGTAACTGA